TTAGCCCATCCCATGCCGTGAGTCATCCGAGAGAGGGGGCGGTAGATTTGAGTTTTCTCAAGAGCAAAACCTAATTTCAAATTTTTTTTATAGTTAATAAAAAATTGCATTAAACTCAAGTTTCTCAAAGAAATGAAAAAACTTCTTTGAGAGCCTCTCAAACATTACAACTGTTCATGTAAAAGAAAATATATACATACTAGCTTATTACCCGGCCCGTTGGCCGGATTACTATATGTTACCCACTTGTGGAATGGGACAGAAAGCAAGTGAGAGTGAAGGGATTGGGATTCCACTTGATTAGGACCGACCCACTAATCCAATTCTTCCCGACCCGCCCCAACCTACAGGGTCAGAAAGAGTCAATAAGAAAATACTAACGGGGAGGATTAGTCATATATCTTAACTCTTCAGAAGTGGGTCAAACAGGATCAAGGTTGGGTGAGGGCGATTTTTAGCGCTAAGCAGAGTTCTGGGTTGAATACCTTTACTTAGGCCTAGAAATTGGTGCTGATGCAGACTGCAGTTTTTATCATACCATCATCAATCATCATTGAATTAGTCCTGGGCATCCCTCCCCGTTGTCGGTCTGAATTCTAATGATGGCTTCATTCCTTGCACCAGCCATATCAGCGAGTTGCCATCTCGAGCATGATTTGCCTATGTACAAATAATACAATTAGAGTATGAAAATAACTTCAATGAAAAGGAAAAGAGAATTCTATCACATGCCAATAAATACACACATAATAGTTGAAGCTAAGTGAAAGTCATTACTCGCACATCAATTCTCAAAAATTACAGACTAAACATTGGCTAGAATGGCACTGAAACTACTAAGAATCATGGACGAAACAACTTGTCAAATTAAATAATCCTTATACTGAAACTACCTTCTAACTTGAAATAAGACATGATCACAGTTCATAGCTCTCTTCTCACTATGAATTGGTTGCAGCTCGTCCTTATCACTGCCTCTCAAGCTCAATTCAAACAGAATAGAGACCGTTATGTAAGATAATCATATTCTTACTGATCATAATTCCTTTCTTCACTCCATTTTTGTCGGAGAAAAGAGTTATCCCCCTCTCCTGCATTTCCTTTTCCCCCTCTCTTCTCCCTCTTCTTCACAAACCAATCCCTAAACCAGCAACAACAACACAAAAATAGCCTTCGCCTCTCCCGTCTCCATCTATTGAACGCGTTGGTGGCAAGACAGGACTGCAGAAGCAAAATTTTCTAAAATCAAACTAAATTTTTTGAAGCAGACTCAACCACGAAAAAAGAGTAAAGCAACAATGCAGTAGAACCCTAAATTTAACTACAATCAAGCACATATCAGCAAGATTTTCGATTTGTCTGAGAGTTAACTACACGGAGAGAACAATTGATGCATAATTGAAATGCTCCAAGCAAGTTGAAGGCAAGCCATAACTTTAGAATTTGGTCATTATAATAACCTTCAAGTATTGATGCTTCTAAGAACTATCATGTCCAACCCCCACTTATACAACTACGTAGCCATAGTAATTAGTTGTATAATGAGAAATATTACAAAGAAAACTACATAAACAACCAATGTAAGTAAATATTAAAACTAACAACTGATAAAACTTAAAATCTCTCTATTGGTATAAATGTATCTATTAGTAACTACTATGCAATCGAGTATATATGATTTTTAGGCACTGAATAAGAAAAGTATAGATGGCTCACAAATGAAGACGTAGAAACTGAAGGTAGCACACAAAAACCAAAAATAGAAAAAGAGATAAGAAAAAATGCGAGAAAAAGTCAAACAAAGAAAAAGCCCACATAGGAATACCTCGCTAGCTTTAGGGACTCTCTGCCACAACAAACAACCTTCTTAAAAATCTAACACCCTGAGACATCAAACAAACCTCCCACGACAGTAATGTATGGCATTCCTATTGTCCAATAGGTTTGCCCAATTTAGACTTCTAAATAAATGGACTTTTCACCATTAAACCAAAACTCACAATCATTAACAGTTAATGCAAAGACATACATTTCTGAGGCCAATCACAGCATTTAAGCATAATTTTTAGTTGAAAAGAACAACTAAGTATTTAGCTAAATGATATAGTAGAATGGACACAATCTGCTACCTACTAATGATATAAACGTGTACCGGTACCATCGTTGTATCCTGACTTGCCATTTGCAACGGGCACTTTGAAAGACAACTGCATTTTAGAGAATAAACACTCATAAGGGCGTTACGAAACCAAGCTTAATCAAAAATCTTCATATTCCACTTCGAAGACTCCATTTTCAAAAATAAGAGAGTTTAACATGTCAAATCACTCATTTGAAAAATCTCAAACAACTATTAATCAATGCAATATAAAGGCACGTTCCAAATTATGTACTTGTAGGAATAATCCCAAATAATTATCAATTAATGCCCCAACTACCTAATGTGCAGAATAGCCCTGGAGCTGTGCTGTTGTTTGCGTTGGTCTACCTTCAAACATAACATAGTTGCATCACGAACCAAAGCAATTAAGCAAAAATCTTCATATTCCAAGTAGAATGACTCAATTCAATTTGGCCAACGCTTTATACATATTGTTTACCCCTGGACCTGTTGCACTTGCGCCTTCAGATCTTCGTGAACACAATACAATTGCGGAGAGGAGGCTGTCAACGGAATAAAAATTGTTAATTAAGTGAATCACCATACAACTAAACAAACGCGCTCTTCTTGATTAGCTATCAAAATAGTGGGGGTCGCTACAATCCATCGGTTGCTCCCTCTACGCCTAAGTTGTAGATATTAGGTTTCAGTGAGAACTTTGAGTACATGAGGAGATATTTTGTAGTGGAGGAGATGACCCGGAGAGTAGAATAGGAAGATTTGGAGAGGCTGCGATGGGCAAAGCAGTTAAAATCGAGATTTTACCTAAAATCGAAAACTGGGGTAAAATCAAAATCGTATAATCGAATCGTAAAATCGTAGGATTTTAAGTACCATATAGAACATAGCATATAAGAATATTAATAAGGTAAATTATTAATATCACAAAGACACATAGCATTTAAAATGATAATTCAGAAGATTTTTTTTTCATAAGATAATTCTCAAGATTAATGTTCCAAAATCACTATTTTAATTGTTATTTAATGTGTAACTCAAAATAATTCATGATGAAGGGATATAGTTCATGGGTTTGGCTCTTATTTTCATGTTATGTCTAGGTTGTTTAACTCAAAGTAATATTTCGACATCGTCTACTAAGTATGATTTAAAACTAAAAATAATTGAACTCCAATAAAATAAGTAATGTTAGTAGCTTGGTACAAATATATTCATTAATAAATTAATTAGTTAATAATGATGTTAGTTATTACATACTTCCAATATTAGGACAGGTGTTTTACCAATAAGTTAAATGGGGTGAAGGGAAAGAGATTAACCGAACCCTAATTTGGTTATTTTTATTATTTTTGAATATTTTTCTAATAGAAAAATATCTGAGAAGATTCCATTGCCCTTTCCGCTGAAACAGTTATACTTATTTTAAATTGGCTCAAACCACCTATTTTGTTCTCTTACGATCAAAATCCCGATTTCGGTACTATTTTACGATTTTAACGATTTTAGTCCCGATTTTAAACGATTTTAAGGTCCATCGATTTTATAGTAAAATCAAGATCGGAATCCCTAAGTAAAATCCTAAAATCCTACGATTTTACGATCAAAATCCCGAATTTGACTGCATTGGCGATGGGTGCACGATTAGTGGGTCAAATAACATTTTGGGCCCGTTTAAATGAAAACATATTTTTACTTTCGTGCTCAACAGACCGACCGCACTGGCATCTTCTAAATTTACCCCTAAAAAATTGCTCTGTACGCATCAAATTTGAAATGGAATCCCTCTTTTCTCATTTCACATTTCACATTTATATGATGTGTAGATTGTGATGAGTGTAGATGTAGACCTGTCATTGTCCTACAAATTCATTAACACGCCAAAAAGTGATGAAATGAGCCACCCTATTAAACACAATCTTGTATAATGATCATTGGATCCAATCATGCCAGATTATGAAGAAGTTTAAAATGTAGCGGTTATCCCGACTAAAACATTAAAAGAACCAGTCTCATATAGTTTGCACAAAGATATAATTTCTCCATAGTAATTCTGAAAAATAATCTTAATTTAAGAAGTCGATATTGCTTCTACATGTTTAATATTGCAATTCGATATGCAATATTCGAACCAGTGATATTTGGGCTGCAATTTTAGGGTTATTGTATATTTATAAAATAGATAGAAATTTAAATTAAGTATTAAACTACAACTAAAATAATCAAAGTATTAAAACACCAAATAAGTACTTACGGGAGATTCAGTGGCCAACTAATCGTTAAAAAAGTCATATGATTTTCATAATTTAGGTTCGTGTATGTTTGAATTTAAATAGATACAACAAATATACTTAGTGTGATTGGTTATGATCCTTGCTTGCCTTTAAAGAGACCAAGGTTCAAATCCCAGTGCATGCCTTTTTTATGAATAAATAAATAAGAAAATAAGCAATTGTGAAGACCAAAATGTCCTTCCTATAATCACTCTCGTTGCAGGAAATTTGAAATGGAGCAACAGTTTTCATCATTCGGCTTTTATTTATTACTAGCGCAGGGCCCGGCCCGTTGGGCGGGTAAACTAAACATAAGCGGCGCATTTGACAAACGTTGGAACATGAAATCAAATGAAAACGAATTCATTTTTTTGTCAATTTAAGTTTCAAATTGTTCAGTTAAAATGTTTATACGAATATATGAAATTTAATAAGTGGGCTGTAATATTTGGAACATAATAATAAGCATCACATTGGTAAAAACCACAGGAGATAGATGGAGCTGCCAAGTAATAATCTATTCGGGGAAAGAGTTCAACATTCATAATTGGAACAACTATACAGAAATTATCTTTGAATTAAAGCACTGTTCAAGTACGTCACCCCCTCTACCAGAATAATTTGCGAAGAACCAAATCAAACTCATTGGTCTGGCCGTTGAAATCTCCAAATTCAATCATAAACTTCAATATATTCCCCCTGAGAGCAGCTAGGAGAGTCCTGAAGTCATTGGTCCATTCCTTGTCTGTAGCCTCAATGATACGGCTTGCTATCCACCGGAACTTGGTAGTCATAAACATGATAGAAGCCTCATGAGGACCAGTAGCAACAGTCAGCCTCACCATAAACTTGAGATGCACACTTGACCAAGAAACAGTAACATCCTTGACTGTTGCAGTAGTAAGGTACAAATTCCCCTGCAATATGAACCACATGAAAGCTTACATTTGGGAATGGTAAGAGGATAATTGATATTTTATTGGTCAAGTTAGAGCATTAGAGACGCAGTTACATCCAACCATGGTGTCCAGGCCAACAATTATGATATTCAATGGGAGCAAAATATGAATGTTGAAATTTTTGTAGGAGTTGACCGAGTGTACATATAAACTACCTGGTTGGTGAAATCAGTCTTATATAGATTCAGTTCCGAAATGGAACATATCTCACTTAACCATATAGCATCCTCCAACGTGTAGTCAATGGCCAGCGGGACATTTTCTATACTGTAAATGAAAAAAAATAATTCCAAAACATGAGAATAAGAATAATAAAAGAATTGATTCTATTGATCAAAGGTTAAACACTTACTTATCAAGCAGGGGGTGCACGTGAGGATAGTGCAAGTTGCAATATACTTTCGTTGCATTTGAGCCCACACAATATTCTTCCCCTAAAACCATAACATCTAAAAACTCAATTACCACTAATCTAAACTAAAAGAACAGGTTTGAAAAATAGAATGAAAACCATGTAAGAGACCTGCGAAGTGGCGAACAACAACGGAAGTGAAGACAACTACTGTTCCTGGTAAAGGATCATTAGGTGTCACAGCTTGAAATTCGTCAATTAGACCATCCCATAAGACGACATCAACTATAGGTCCCCTAAAATTTTTTTAAAAAAAAGATGCATGAATGGGCTGCATACGGTAAGCACACTTCAAATGTAACCTGTACAAAAAAACAACCAACTGACTCAATCAATCTAAGCTGCACCCCCTTTCGCCGTAAAATAGCAGCATCTTCGAATAGGACCTCTTCTTGTTCAACAGTTTCAACCTCCCCAATTAAATCTGAGCCCAAACATATCGTTAGGCACACAATATGAAAACCAAACCGGCCAAATAAAGCTTTCTTTGAATTAGAAATACCAGACAAATATTCATGATTATGGACAGCAAAGGGAAGATCATTAGCAGCCAAAAACCGAAAGCTATATGTTGGTATGTCGGCTGCATTCTGGAGTTCCTCAATCACCGTATCATTATGAAAGCGGATTCGGATAGTTGCAGGAGCAACTCTATACGTATCATCATATTCTTCGACCAAAAAGTTGCTCAAGAAATAGATCCTTCCCACGTGAAGAAGAGGAGCAAACAACTGAACATTAAGAATATCAACCAAGGCCTGCATCTCTGTTCCCTAAAAGTCACGGTAAAAAATCTTTGAGTATTTTTAGAATTGAATAGCGTACTTCCCACTCATGTAACGAATAGAAGGCTTATAAAATCAAAGTACCTGGTTGTCGAGAAACAACATGTGGATTTGGTCAAGCGTTACACCATCAGGCCTCATTGTATGCCATAAACGCAGGAGCCTGACGCGAACAGCCTGGTCATTGTCATGGAGGTTCAATTGGGCTAAATTGCGGAGAGCCATCACTGATACGGCACGCTGGAAAAGAGTCAATATTTTGGATGGCAGCAAACCTTTTCACGTGCTGGAAATGTTCTTTATATAGACTTGCAGGGAAGGAAGTTGGTTTAAGCTTGAGAATAGGTGGCATAGTGGAAGAACGTGGTGATCATGGCAATTAATTACTTATTATTTGTATTTATAATATATTTTAATAGGAAAATGACAGGCCATATTGGCAAGCGAAAGTAGCAGTACATAGTAAGCATCGGCTTAGGAACTATTAACATTTTTTACCCTAAGACTTGTCTGGATTCTGACTAATGGTGTGAATGGTCTAATGCAGGGGTTGGTCGAAGCATAAGTCTGGTTCTGCACATAGCAACCTTGATCTCGGCATGATATGAAAATGGAAGCAGCCAATGATCCTTTCATTGATGCTAATTACCTGGTCAGAGTTGGATTAGTAATTATTAACATTTCTTTTCCTTATACTCCAAAATGAAATGGATCTTTGGTGATGTCCAAGTTGTTTAACTGTACTGGATTGAACTCTGAAATGTCATTCAATATGTTTCATTTGAAATTTGATGATGAATTTGCTGGTTTAAGAGAGTGCGGGATAAAGGTGCCCATTGTATGAGCATGTAATGGATGCTGAGATGAAAACATAGGATAGGAAAACCATGTAAGAAAGGCATGATGAAAATAAAGATGTGTGTAATTCATTATTTGTCAAAGGATGTGATAAAGCATTTCAATTTGCCAAATATTGATCGTTCACATATGCGGGTTGGAATTCAGTAGAGTTGAAGAATTTGACGTTGTATTTTTTGATATCACTTGTCTCGACCAACTCCTCAACTACTGTTTTTGCATCCAAGAGAATAGGTACGTATATTGAAATCCATCAATCCTTGTATGGCACAACGACCCATTGTCACTGTGCAACACAACAAACGGGAACAAAGGAAAACCAGTAAACAGTTTCGACAAACACCCAGCAGTCTAGCAACAAAAGGAAATTGAACTGTTCTTCTACAGAATCAAAGTGGAACTACTAATAGGGTATTGGTTACATAACGTTCAACCCCTCAGATATCACTCTGGGTGCATCTTTCGTTTCAGTTTATTATCAGGGGTGATATCAACAGAAACGCCTTTGTCTGCCTCTTGATGTGCTGGATCTGGGATGGAAGGTTGCGATGAAGTTTGGGAGGACTCAACTCCACTGGTAATTGATGAACATGAGGCATCTTTGTGAAGAACAGAAGCTGGAGACTGAAATTAAAAAAATGGTGGAAAGTAGAAACAATTAATAGTAGGACTTTAAGAGGATTCAATGAAAGCTATTATTAATCAAGTACGAATCAGGTCATGCAAACATATGTCATAGTCATTGTACACAAAACAGTATAGTAGAGTTATAAGTCTGGAAGATCTAATGAGTAGCTCACCTGTTCTGTGGGTTCCAAGACTTTTAAGACGGTGAAATCAGCTTGTGAATCACTGTAGAGATTTAGCTTGAACTTGACATGGAATAGTTTGGTCTCACCAACTATTTGGAGTAGATCTGGAGGGGGTACCTCATTGTTCTGACCCGTCCTATTGAAAAGATCATTACCACTGACACCAAAGAAGCGTTTTGCTTCATACTCAAAGATGATAAAGGTAGCTGGCACAGAACTGCTTTCAACATCAAGCTGTATACGATATCTGGAAAGGCACGAAATGGAAATTCAGCATATTCAATGAAGTTTATAATTCAAGGATCTGATGGAATTTATCTTGGAACTCAATGATATGGTATTTACTTGGCAGCCCTTGTTGGTGTTGGCTTGTTGCATTTGACACAGTAGTATTCTCCATGTCTTTCTATGGGTTTAAGGACACAGGTTGGACAGCCCATATAACACCAAAATGGCTTGATTCCTACGACTTTGCATTCAACAGCATACACACATTCCTAGTTGTAGTCGAAGTGAATTAATATTGGCGTATAGATTAGAGAAAACACCATAATGTAAATTTAGAGAAAACACCATAATCTAACCTCATTATCAGGGTCCAATTGAAGTTCCAGCAATTCCGATAGAGTAATATTAGGGATGAAGGGGGGTGGGGGTAATTCAACAAACACGGGCTGCTGTGGTTGCACATTCCTTTTTCAAAAGAAATAAATATGTTAATTTGACATTGGTTCAACAGTATGGTTCGGATATTCATTAGCAATTAAAAGAGAATACCTGGTTGTGAAAGCCTTTACTTCTGGGATATCAAGGTTGGGATACAACACTGTTGAACCCGAAGAATTAAAGCAAAGTTCACCTGAAAAATTAAATTGATGTTGTTCCTACTGATCAGTCACCCATATATCTCAAATGCAGCACAGTGTAAACAGATGTTGTACCTAGGAAGGGTTTGACAGAAACCGCAGTCACAACCAGTATGACTTGTTCATCATCACCAGGCTTGATCAACTTATCAAAGTCAGCTACAACTCTTCCCCAGATAATAACTTTGACAACATCCCCTCTGTAAAACAACGTAGGCTTAGGTTTGACAACATAAGTAATGCCTAAGCATGGGTGTAAATGAACACCATACAATGAAGTGACCCATATAAATGTATATGATCAGAGGCTGAATAACCCATGATCTAAATTTATACTGCCTAGAAAAAGTAGAACGTTGTACCCAAGCAATCATCAATCATTCATGTAACTCCAACTTCATATTGATACAACCGTAGCAAAGATAGCTCTTACTCAATTAGTTTCAGTTGAAGCTCCTTCCGAATGGTTTTCCTAGCAAGATTCGTTGTCTTGATGGCATCCGAGTGCTGTACTACTTGCCCAACAACATCTATACAAAGAAAAGTTAATGGAAATTAGACGCAAGCAAGCACAGAAAGGAAATCAACCACTGAATAAATTGCGGTTGTAACCTGAGAGTACGACCACATCATTCAATTTAGATGCCATCTCACTTGCTTTGAGGAATTTGAATTTGAAGGCAGGAATGGAAGGGACATCGGGAACATGCTCAACAGTAGTCTTCCAGGAGAACGACATGATATATGTATTGGCAATGGGGCGATATTTCAGTTGGGTCGTGTGAAGCTCAAAGTTTTTAATGGTGTAGACCTGCTGTTCCTTCAGCAATCGTTTGAAGTGTTCTTGCAGCACTGGTGGGATATGCACCCATATATCATTCCCCTGGGGATTTATAGAGACGAAATAAGACAGTCTGGATGATATGTGACGCAACTAAAGTTAATGTTAAACACAGCCGTACCTTGGCATCCATCAAGATGAGATCGAAATGCAGGACTTTATCAGTCGTCACATTAACACCCAACCATGCCCTGGAGACGCGACAATGCCCTGACCAGAGTTGTTTCTCGGACTCAAGATCTCGGATGCCATTGAATGCCATGGTGTAGCTACCAAAGTACATAAGCACTTAGTTATAGTGTAGGAATAGGAGGTTGGTTTGATGGAGGAATGAAGTGGGAAAAAAATTCTGTGAAGAAGAAGTTACCTGGCGGGATTTAGCAAGCGTCAACTGAAATATAAAATGAGCCGAGAGATTTAGAGAAGGTATATATATGTGGATTCCAGTTGGGGCAGTTACCAATTGCCCCACGTTGGCAAGCAACAGCAACATCTTCGGAAGGTAACTGCTACACCAACGTGAACTGCTTATTCAAAGGGTGTAGAGCTGGAGATGGAAATAGGGGGGAAAATTCAAATATGTCAGTTATAAACCAATGTAAATTTCCCAAGGACCGACAACGCGCCAAAATAGAGCCAGTATAACTTACCATCCATGTTCAATGAGTACCTGGGGTTGAAAAGCAGCTCGGTTCCTTTTATTCCCCGCTGCCGCCGCAAAGAGGGCCAAAGTCGGAGCTGAGGCTTTGACTGCGTGACGTCTGATTCCAGGTGGAAACCATCTTCCAACCTGCACCCGGTTGAATTGAATTGCAATGTTCGGGGCGGATGTAGTCTGGGCAATTGGTTGCTTCTTCCAATTAGGGATATGGGGAGATGGATATTTGGGGCAGGTGTTCTGCATGGGGAAGACCGGTTAGCTAGCGCCATCCTCAGATAAGCGTTCGCTGCCGACGGGGATCCGAGCCTGTGGTCGCAATTCACTCGCCGGTGAAAGGCAATGGTAGCGCCAAGAATTGTTTGTTGTACTCTAGCCTCTAGGGTTGGAGCTCGATTCCAATGCTGCTAGGAAGCCGCCAAAAAAACCAAAAAAACCATGTGGGCCGAAACCTCCTCCACTGTTAATTAGGGGAAACGACATTCACATATGAGATCTTGTTGTGGGCTATAGATGGACCGTCATGTGTAACAGGCCCATGTGAAATATCTTTTTCGCTTGGTTATTTAGAATGGGTCCATTTATATATCTATCTACCTTAGAAAAGTATAAAGACAAAAGCACATATCCTAAACTGAACTTTTCCCTTTACACTGGCGGCAATAAAAGTTGGGAGAGTGAAATGGGCTTTGCCACATTTCTGCCAATTCATTTACCATTTGTTTTTTATTGATCAATTAAACTATAATAACAGAAAATTCTCTTTCGTTAATTTACATTTAACACACGGGAAGATTTAATTGGGATGGTGCAATACATCCATCCCAATGACGGTTTTCTCAGAGTAAAGGGTTTTTGGAACTCAAGCGATCAATATGGTGCACTTGTGCTTGAATGGTGAGTATTCCTGCAAGTGAAATATACAGATCAAATTATTATGATTTTGTAAGACCTTCAAAGTTGATTTAATGTACTACCAAATGAGTCGCAGGACTATGTTGCTTAAGACGATCCCTTTCAGCAGCGGTTTGTTGGTTGGGAGGAGGAGTTGAAATTAGGTGTGTCATTTTCTCATAAACGTGAATCAATTGACAATGCATCGCTAGGGTTGGCAGATTGATAAAATAAATTAATACCATTTTGAAGTAGTGAATTTTTTAGCCAGTAAATCACTCGTATCATCGAGTAAAAAAAAAAGTTAGGTTTTCATTTATTTATTATCATTTGACAAAAACATATCTGTATGGTCAGCACAAATTATTGGTTGGTATGCGTGTCAAAAGAAACAACAACAACAAAAAAAACTTGCGGATGAATAATTGTATTCTTAATGGTTTCTATTGGTTTTTCGGTTTTAACCAAACCAAAACCATTAAGTTGCTTATTGGTTTAAAACAAAACAAAAGAAACAATTAGCTTTCCAATTGGGTTGGGTTTGGTTAAAACCCAAAAAAACCCAAACCAAATGGACAGCCATAGCGACGCTTGGATCAAACAAATATAAAACCCAAAATAAAAAAAAACAATTAAAACCTCCCACCCACCCGAAGACGGTTTAACTCCCTTCTTCCTTTCCCTCCTCCATCGCTCTCACCTACCCTCCAGTCCCTCCACAGAAACCTGACCATCCACATCCCCAACCCGCCATCTTCTGCTTCTCCTGCTTCCCGCTCCCTCCGCAAACCCCGACCCTCCCACTACGCTCGCTCATTCTCCCTCGTCGAACAACCCTACCGTCGAATCACCACTCGCGCGGACTCCAACAACGGCACCGAGTCACGACGTCACTATTCACTCGCCGACGAGAAGACCAACAGTCCAACCAAGCCATTGCATGCACTCATGTTCCAGCCCTCCCTGACTGACCGATATTGGTACCATCTCTACATCTCCAGGAGGTAAGTTCTAAAGTCTTACCGCGTAAAGACCCAGCCGAAGACGTTTCAACTCCCTTCCTCCCTGACGCCTTCTTCTGCTCTGCTCAGTCTCCGGCCAACAAAGCAACTGGAAACCCATTCCAGTGCATGCACTCATTTTCTAGGCCTTCTCTCTGCCTGATCGACGTTAGCCCTATCTCAGCATCTCTAAAAGGTAATTTCTAAAACCCTACCTCGGCAAAATCTCTCCTTTCCTCTCATCAAGAACTTCAACCAATTTTTCCAGACCACTCATCAATTACATTCGCTTGCTGGCCTTCAAATTAGGTTTCTCCAGATCTACTACAATCTTATCATCCAGATTTTTTTTTTTTTAGTTCGATACTCCAAGGAAACTTTGTATGTTTGTATTGACACATTCATGTATTGGGTTGCTATTGTTTGTGTATATTCGGGTTTACATAATTAGTTGATTAGTTTTACAGCTCTAACATTTGTTGATAGAGTTGCTAATATTGCTACTAATCTAAATTATAGATTCTTTTCCATGGGAGACTTCGTTTCAAATCTGCAATATGAAGTTGCCGCAAGAATTTGGGACAATGTAGAAACGATAGATCTTATCCCTATGCAATTGGATGTTGCTAATCAGGTGAATCAGATAACATGTATTTTATCTATCCGGAATCTATATTTTATCTAAAGAATTTGCATCTAATTTGGTCTTATTTTGAACTCCTTATGTTTTGGCTTGTACCAGGGCAAGTCATACATTTTCAATGGCTGGGTCACAGAATTGAGGAGATCTTGGCATGCCGACTCCAGCATATACTTGCTTCACTTGACAATTGAAGATTTTATCACCGATCTTGAGGTCGTATTTCCATCAGCTTACTTACGGCGAGTCATGTCTGCTGTTGTTGGTCCTGATGAGATGGAAGATGTGGAGTACATTCCACTACTCAACAGGATTGGTGAGTCGCCATATAGGGTCTTGGTCACATTCGGACCTTGGAACAACGTGGAGAATCGTCTTGATCTCTTCTTGGTTAAGTTGTTCCCGATTTTAGATGACTAAGTAGCGTAGGGTATTATTAATATAATCGGATTAATGTTAGTAATGGTCCACCTCGCTCTAATTTCGAATTATCTAACCGCGTAATGGATATGTGAACGCAAATATTTTTTGAAAGGTTATTATCCTTTTGAGGTGGTCCTTCATGTAACCATATTTTGAGCATCATATAATTTTGCTCTTTGTTTACTGTCACCTTCCTTGCTATTTGGTAATTCCTTTTAAATCCATTAGGACGACATGGAATCCTGCTCCGTGACATATACAACGCAATGCACATATGGACTATGGTATGCATATGCAAAATAGTCTAGAACACACCTTACAAAATAAAGAAACGCATTTAAAAGATACTAAGCTTACCATGTGGAATATATTCAACAGTACGTCGCAAGCGCGCATTCAAGATCTCCCGTCGTCGTTTTCGATAGGATTGAGCTATCAAGCCATCAATATGCTCAACTTGTGATTGAAGGGTGAGTATTTCTGCAATTGAAATATACAAATCAAATTATCCTGATTTTGTGCCAAAGTAAACTTTAATTTAATGTACCGACAAATGAATCGCGGAACTACGTTGATTAAGACGATCCCTTTCAGCAGCGGTTTGTTGATTGGAAGGAGGTTTTGGCGGGTTGAATATAGCTCGCATGAACCCTGCAAAATACGACAGAATTAAGGCAGCGGGTATATGTTGTGTCCATTTTGAATACGTACAATAACAGTGGAACATGGAAAAAACCAAAGAAATCAAATTACATTTGCCCTTTGAATTCCGACGGTTGGGAGCACTGGTTTGCACTGAAGAGCTTCCACCAGGTTGTTGATTTCCGGACATTATCTTGATTGCAATCACACTTAAGCATGAACCAGCAAGCTCTAATTGATAAAAAATAAAGGTTTACTTAGCGGTTTGTTGATTGGAAGGAGGTTTTGGCGGGTTGAATATAGCTCGCACAGTTTTATTTAAATGTGAATTCACCAGCAGTCTTTGGGCCGACTACGTCAAGGGGGAAGAGTTTGGGCCGGATACTTCAGGGGGAAACAGTCCGGTCCGACTATATAATAAACTGGCCCGGTCCACCGGCAGAATGTGTTGGAGGTGAAACGCACAGTTTTATTTAAATGTGAATTCACCAGCAGTCTTTGGGCCGACTACGTCAAGGGGGAATAGTTTGGGCCGGATACTTCAGGGGGCAACAGCCCGGTCCGACTATATAATAAACTGGCCCGGTCCACCGGCAAAATGTGTTGGAGGTGAAACGCACAGTTTTATTTAAATGTGAATTGCCTAAAGTGCCCTTCCGACAAACCCTCTGCGGGCTGGAAATTTGAATCCCTGCAAACTAAACACTTGTTTTGGCTTCATATATCTTATAGATCTAGATGTCTATCTATCCAGACCGATCACATGAAGACTCTCCTGCATGCAATATCACTTTCAGCCCTCCAAAACAAAATTCTGCAGACTTTCCGGCACAAAACTTCAGGGGCACGCACAGCTGCCACCCCATATACTCGCGAACAACGTTCTCTCCATACTAAACTTACAACAAGGCTCCAAATAGCACGACTGGCAATAGCTTCAAGTGCTCATCCCTTCCATCGGCTTGCACGCAACTCCACCACTTCATCCCACATTTTCAAGCCAACAACAGGAGCGAGAGTGAACATACACTTTTGAACTACAAACTACATAAAACAGATGAAAACAATCCTCGACACCTCCTGGGCACATCACACAGAACCCTGGAACGGGTTTCCCCCAAACTAGAAGCTTATCCATCGTACGCAATCTCCTCATCACAGCTAGGCACAATATGAAACCATGTCTTGGCACCACCTCCCTACTCCATACCATTTCATACCAGGGAACAAACAGACTGCGGGTTCTAATCGTCTCTCAAACTCTTTTGACAGAGTATTGAGGCATTGGAGCCCCGTTTTAGAACATAGAGCCCCCATGTCCAAAAATATGTTGCATGATGTCACCTCTTCATTTCAGCAAACGTCTCCAAATCCAGGAACCTGCAGCCCCTACTTCAAATCCCAGAAAGACTCCTGCTTAATGCTAGGGGTGTTCAAACGGATTGGTTACCGTGGTAACCATATTAACCGGTAGCATTCGGTTAATTTGGATAATTGGTTTGGTTTGGTTAAACAATTTAGCTTATTTGGTTTAGGTGGTTTGGTTTGGTTTCAACACTGCTAACCAATGAAACCAATTAATGATAAACCTAATATAAAAAATTATTTATACTTCCATGCAACCAACCAAACCAAACATTCGTGAT